CTGTAAGTCCCTTGTGCTAATGTTTATGCTTTTGATTTTAGATTCAATTTCCTGTGCCCCTTGAAGACGTCTCTGGTGATGAAATCCGTAGGAAGGAGCTTAGTGGTGACGTCATCACGTCTGCTTGACAAGCAGCAAAGTTCAGCGGTATTCATTGTTATTTATGCGAGCACAACACTTTTTTTCTTTTTCTAATTCATAGGTTTCAGGTAATATTGTATTTGGATACCAGTGGGTGCTGCTGTCAGATCATTACTTATTGATTATTCACCAATTGTATATTCTTTCGCACCAAGTGCAGGTTTTCTCACTATTAGACCAAAAAGCATACACGACGAGAGGACCTGACAAACAATATGTGTGGTCACAGGGATATGCTTGGGTTCGATCTGAAATCAGAAGACAGCTGCTTGTGCCGTTGTCACCCTGTAGCATGCTCTTCCGATACTGGCTACTAGAGATGAGCTGGGTCCAAACCCGAAGGCAGCAGTCAGTGCCAGGCCAATGAGCTGTGCTCGGGGGATTCCCTGTTCTGCAGCTGTACGTTCACAAAGGAGTGGGGATGCTCGTGACATCATTGACCTAATATGGCCACAGAATTGGGGATGCTCATGACATCATTGACCTATTATGGCCACATATTCTGCAGGTTAATTATGGGCAGCACAGTGGCTAAATGGTTAGCACTTCCGCCTGGCAGTACTTAGGTCCTTGGTTCAAATCCCAACCACAGCACCACCTGCCTGGAGTTTGCATGTTCTCCCTGTGCCTGCGTGGGTTTCCTCTGGGTACTCTGGTTTCCTCCCACTCTCCAAAGACATGCTGGTAGGTGAATTGGCTCCTGTCTAAAGTGGCCCTAGTATGTATATGTATGGATGTGAGTTAGGGACCTTAGATTGTACGCCCCTTGAGGGTTAGGGACCTTAGATTGTACGCCCCTTGAGGGTTAGGGACTGATGTGAATGTACAATATATATGTAATTGCGGAGTACATTGATGGCGCTATATAAGTACCTGAAATAAATAAAAAATAAACTGTCACAATTGGCCCTATTATCTGTATGTTTTTTTAGGAGGTTGTTTTGATTGGCTGTTCCTTGATTGGGCGGTCATGTATGTGTGTGTGTGTGTGTGTGTGTGGTGGGGGGGGGGGGGGGGGAAGGTTTTTGGTTCTCTTTACCATTTTTTGGCATATATATGTTGGACTAGCAGGTCTACATTTTAGTTCGTCTCCCGAAACGCGTTAGCCTGTCCCATCAAGGGTGTATTATTCCATTGGACTGTCTTTATGGACTACCTGCTCTGTTTTTATTCCCTTTTGGTTTGTGATATATATCTTTAGTTTTTATTAAATACGTGGTGTACCACGGTAATGCACGGTGAGAGCGCCCTTGTTTGTTTTTTGTTCACCAGCACCTAGATTTCCCGATCTCTGAAGGGCTGCACCTCAACATTTGACATTCAGAATCCCTTTTATGCAGGCTATAGATGGGTCGAAAACCGGCCATTTTTAGAAAAAAACTAAAAAAAAAAATCGGTCGTTCAATAGGCCGACGTTACCACCAACGGTAAAAAAAAGAAAATCGGCCAATTTTCGTCCCATCTACGGCCGGCATTTAATTACTTCTGTCGCGTGCAGAGAGCTCATTATATTTTACATGAAAGTCTTGTGGTTGCAACAATGTATCTATCTGTATCCATTTCGGATACAGATGGTTTTATTTGGATACAAATAGATACATTGTTGCAACCGCAAGACTTTCATGTCAAATATAATAGTGGACTGGAATTCTTCTTTTTCTTTTATTCTTTTTCTTCTTGCAGGTCACGGCTCATGCGCAGATTTTTATCGGTAAAACGATCGGCCGATTTGAACATCATTGCTGGGAAAATTGGCTCATTTTTTTCCAACTTCACTGATAAAAAAAAATGTGCCAAAACCCCGAAAAACGGACGACCAATTAACCCATTAACAGTGTGAAAATTGGCTGATATTCTTTTTCGGTCGAAAAATTATTTTCGACCCATCTATGGCTTGCATAAGTCTCCATGAAGATTTGAATGCTGGTTTTGTTTGTTCTTTTGGATCCTATTATCTGTATGTATGCATGAGAGATAGGGACTGGAGATTGTACGCTCCTCGGGGGCGGGGACTGATGTGAATGTACAATATATATGTAAAAGCGCAGCGTAAATTGAGGGCGCTATAGAAGTACCTGAAATAAATAATAAATTGCCACAATTGGCCCTATGATCTGTATGTACGCATGAGAGATAGGGACTGTAGATTGTGCCTGGAGTTTGCATGTTCTCCCTGTGACTGTGGGTTTCCTCCGGGTACTCCCGTTTCCTCCCACACTCCAAAGACATGCTGGTAGGTGAATTGGCTCCTGTCTAAATTGTCCCTAGTATGTGTATGTATGAATGTGAGTTAGGGACCTTAGATTGTACGCCCCTTGAGGGTTAGGGACCTTAGATTGTACGCTCCTTGAGGGTTAGGGACCTTAGATTGTACGCTCCTTGAGGGTTAGGGACCTTAGATTGTACGCCCCTTGAGGGTTAGGGACTGATGTGAATGTACAATATATATGTAAAGTGCTGCGTAAATTGATGGCGCTATATAAGTACCTGAAATAAATAAATAATAAATTGTCACAATTGGCCCTATTATTGGCCCTAGTATGTATGCATGAGAGATAGGGCCTGTAGATTGTAAGCTCCTTGATATCAGGAACGGATGTGAATGCGCGGTATGTAAATTGTTGGCGTTATACAGTTGTGTTCAAAATAATAGCAGTGTGTTGAAAAAAAGTGAATAAAGCTGAAAATCCTTCTAATAGCTTTTATTTCCATCCACACACAAATGCATTGGGAACACGACACATTCTATTCCAAATCACAACATGAAGAAAAATACATCAAATTTTGTGTTGTTCCTCTAGGAAAATGGAAGAAAAGTGAATATTAGACGGTTCAAAAAAATCGCAGTGTTTGTATTCTTCTTTACAAACTCAAACATTCACTATATAAACTGAGAAATGTTTGAAGATTTTGCTTTCCTTTGAATGACTTCATGAATATTTGGTTGTAGTCGCACTGTTTCTGAGAACTGCTGTACATCTGTGTTGCATGGAGTCCCCCAACTTCTGGCCCCTGTGATCAGGTATTCCAGCCCAGGATGATTGGACCACATTCCACAGTTCTTCTCTATTTCTTGGTTTTGCCTCAGAAACGGCATTTTTGATGTCACCCCACAAGTCTTCTATTGGATGAAGATCCGGGGATTGGGCTGGTCAATCTTGTTGGTCTGGAACCAAGATGTTGCACGTTTACTGGTGTGTTTGGGGTCGTTGTCTTGTTGGAACACCCATTTCAAGGGCATTTCCTCCTCAGCATAAGGCAGCATGATCTCTTCAAGTATTCTGATGGATTCAAACTGATCCATGATCCCTGGTATGCGATAAATAGGCCCAACACCGTAGTATGAGAAACATCCCCATATCATGATGCTTGCACCACCATGCTTCACGGTCTTCACAGTGTCCTGTGGCTTGAATTCAGTGTTTGGGGGTCGTCTGACAAACTGTCTCCGCCCACTAGACCCAAAAAAAGAACAATCTTACTTTCATCAGTCCACAAAATGTTGCGCCATTTCTCTTTAGGCCAGTCAATGTGCTCTTTGGCAGATTGTAACCTCTTCAGCACACGTCTTTTCTCCAACAGTGGGACTTTGCGGGGACTTCTTGCAGATAGCTTGGCTTCACATAGGCGTCTTCTAATTGTAACAGTCCTCACAGGGAACGTCACACCTTCTTTCATCTTCCTGGAGCTGATTGTTGGCTGAGTCCGCCCCATTTTGGCTATTCTTCTATCCATTCCAATGGTAGTTTTTCGCTTTCTTCCACGTCTTTCAGGTTTTGGTTGTCATTTTAAAGCATTTGCGATCATTTTAGCTGAGCAGCCGATCATTTTCTGCACTTCTTTATATGTTTTTTCCACCCCTCTCCAATCAACTTTTTAATCAAGGTAAGCTGTTCTTCTGAACAATGTCTGGAACGACCCATTTTCCTCAGAATTTCAGAGAGAAATGCACTGTAACCAGCATGTCCAACATTTGCTGCCTTCCTTCCTTAAATAAGGGCAATAATTGCCACCTGTTTTACAAAGAATGAATGACGTCACTAATAGAACTCCACACTGCTATTATTTTGAACACGCCCCTTTCAATGAGTGATTCAATGACACAGAATCAGCAGCATGCATGTCATGACTGTCGGGTCTGTTGGATTTCTATGACTCTACTACACCTGCTAGGAAATTATTTGCCATGTAGAAATATCATTTCTACCAAAAACAGCGACTGATCCGGTTAGTGATGTCTGACGGCTATTATTTTGAACACAACTGTATATAAAATTCCTGCAATATAATCATTAAAAACGCGATAGAAAAACGGCAAAACAAAGCGCACTTCAAAAGTCATTTTTCAGCGCGCCATCATCGGAGGCTCCGAAAGTAATTCCCAGGCGTTGTCGGCGGAGATCCCCCCAAACACCGCTGACACATCATCCATCCCGAGCGCTAAAATATCCACTTTTCAAAGCTTGATGTGGTGCGTCAAAGCGAGTAGAGGACCATAAATCACGCAGCGCGCGCTGCCCTGGTCATCACGACCCCCATCCCACCAGCCATCATTTATAAGTTACAAAAGGCAGCTCTTTCATTCCGGCAGATTGGCCGCGCCACATTTGCTGCCACACTTCGGAGCAAGAGGCCCTTTTTTGGAGACAGTAAATTTATCGTCTACGAACCTTGAAGGATGACATCAATGCAAAGTGACTCTCATTGCGAATTCAGGGCCCATCCCCTCGTTAGTCTCCTTGTGGACGGCGGTTGATGTGTGTGTGTCGTCACTGCTCGGTATATAAGAGGTGACACCGGCACTGGCCATCGCCGAGAGAGTCCCGAAAACCTACGAGACGCCGAACATTCCTGACGCC